TGTTTACCTTCAAGCCTTTAAGACCCCAGATGCTATATCTTTTGATAGCCGGGCACCATCAGCTTTCTTCATCACATTTGCTTATGCACCCATTTTGTCTTCAGCGATCATGTCAGGAAGGTGAGCATCACAGAATGATGGATTGTTAGAACAAAGTGTTCTTCTGTGGAGGGAGTACTTGAGTTGAGGCCCAATGTCCATCTGCAACCTTAATTCTTAATATATAGGTATGAGTACATAGTTCTATTCCCCTCTCATTTTATATATATCTATATATATAATATATATACTATATATATTTACATATGTACATGCCTGTATTAGTTCTCTAGATTCGAAATGACCCCTTCACTGTTAAAGGAGTCCTTTAAAGTACACAGCTTTTTCCTTTTTCTTTTTTTTGGCACAGCCAAATGCCAATACTTCACCCCCAAGTTAGACAGAGCCTCTGACTCATAAAACCTCCAGCTCCTCTGCCTCCCCTGTCTCTCAGTCTCTCAGGCGTGGTCCCTCTCCTCTCCAGGCAAATTACAGACCAGACAACCTTTCCCCTGCCAACCAGTAGACGCCTGAAGATGAAAGGAAGGAGTTCCTAAACTGACTGAAGCTCAAGTGGTCTAGACCATCCGAGTGCCCAGGCCCGGGCACTAGGTGATGGTTTATTTCTCAGGATGACTCTGAAAAGGAGGTGGGAAAGGCACAGGTTGATAATTCCACTGACGTCCGTGCATATGTCAGAGGCTGCATGTTTTGCCTTATTTTTCTTTCAGCAATGCATCTCCCTCCGTCCAGCGGAGTACACCGTCGCCCTGAGTAAAACCTAGATTTCGCAGCAAATAGACCTGAGCGGTGACCAAATTCTGAGCAGTAGGATGTGAACCCAGGTGCTAAGTGGAACTTCTGCTTTCTGCCAGAAGGGCCTTGCTCTCTAGTCCCCCCTTCCCGCTTGCTGGAAGGAAACCCTGACCGTGGGAGTCGACGCCACTACTTTGCACCAGGAGATGGAAGCCCAGTGTCGATCATGACAAAACCACCCCAAGCCTGCAGTGGGATGGATCTAGAGCTGCCCCATTGGCTCTGACCAGCCAACCCAGACTGGAGAAATGAACACCGACCTAATGTGAGCTAATGCTATTTGTGGTCACTCTGAGGTCAGAGCCAAACTTAAGCCCCCACGATCCATCTCCCCACACAGGTCCCCAACAAAGCTGTTAGGACTATGTGACGGTGGCAGCAGCAGTCCCAGCAACAGGAATCTCCCTTTCCACCTTCAGAAACTAAAAAACCCCTCAAGCTCCATGCCGTCGACTCGATGCCGACTCCTAGCAGCCCTACATGACAGGGTAGAGCTGTCCCTTTGAGTTTCTGAGTGACTGTTTATGGGGATAGAAAGCCCCGTCTTTCTCCCAAGGAGGGGCTGGCGGTTTCAAACTGCCAACCTTGCAGATCGCAGCCCAGCGTAACCATGCTGCCAGCCAGGTAGGAATTCCTGACGCAGGCGCCCTTGGAATTCCTCAAGCTGAGTGAGTCTTCTCTTAACAAATAATTTCTAGCTCAAGTGATTAAAAGCAGGTCCACGTGTGCTTTTGATCCAACATTGTCTTGAGCTGGACGCTAAGAAAACTAATGCTAAGATAGCATCGTTTTTGAAGTCGCTAAAAAGGAATCAGAATAAAACCTAGAGGGAGCTGTTTCTTCTGAGAATAAAAAGGGACCATTTTGAGATCCTCACCGGTCACTGTTTTCCACCCAGTGTGTTGCATTTTGCCAGTGAGTTATGAAGCTGCAAGTGATAAGGCACCGAGCTTTCTAGTCCGTCCTCCCCACTCCTGTACTATCTGAATGCTTTGTTTTGTTTTTCTAAATCATTTTTTTGGGGGCTCATACAACTCTTACCACAATCCATCAGTAGAAGGTAATTCTACCTATCAATTACGACCACGTGATCAATTGCAAAAGCGAGGTTTGTAATTGTCAATGTAATTTCTTTTCATGTGCTTATTGCATATCTTTCCTTCATTCAGGTATGATATATCAGATACAATTGGACTGTGGTTTCATTTATATGTATAATAGATGATTGATGATAAGTATAAGTGTGATTTTCATCAATGTCCATAAATTATATATGTATATATGGCTAAAGAATTGTGTACAGGTGCCAGGTTGGCAAGGGGTGGATTGAGATAGTTTATTGTGCCAGCCTGGCCGATAAACACAAGTGGGATTAACTGAAGGGCAGAGAGATAAATGGCTCGGTGAGTCTCGCCTTTCTTGTCTCTCGCTCTTTCATCATCGGACCAGTGTGCGGCTGCCTTGTTTGTCCTGTGCCTCAATTTAAAGGCTACACTACCTGTGGGGTGCTTAGCCTGTGGATTGTGTCGCTGTAAGTTGAGGTTCCTTTAAGACATCTCTGGAGCTGAGGACTGGCGGTTGGTGACCTGGCTGGCAGTTGGTGACCTGCCTTCTGATTGGCTGCTGTGCTGACATAGCCTAGCTCTCTCTATAAATGGAGGAAGTTCTAGCAGCAGACTAGACTTGAAGGACTGCTAGTCTCACACAACTCTCTCTCACGGGAGTGAGTTGCATTGAGCCATTTGTAGTGCTTTATAATTTAACTGTTTATTTCTTGTATTATATATTTATCTGTACATGATTTAACAGTTCATTTTTTGTTATCTATCTAATTATCTTTATAAATAAATATATTAAATTATCTGCAATTTGGTTTTATCTCTCTAGAGAACCCTGTCTAACACACCATCCATCCATCCATCCATTGTGTCAAGCACATTTGTACATATGTTTCCATCATCATTCTCAAAACATTTTCTTTCTACTTGACTCTTGGGATCAGCTCATTTTTTTTCCCTCCCTCATGAACCCTTGATAATTTATAAATTTTTTTTTTTTTTCATGCCTTACATCGACTGCTGTCTCCCTTCACCCACTTTTCTGTTGTTTGCCCCCTGGGAGGGGTTATATATTGATCCTTGTGATTGGTTCCCCCTTCCTCCCCCACCTTCCCCTTCCCCTCCTGGTATCCCTACTCTCATTATTGGTCTTGAGGGGTTTATCTGTCCTAGATTCCCTGTGTTTAGAGCTCTTATCTGTACCAGTGTTCATGCTCTGGTCTAACCAGATTTGTAAGGTAGAATTGGGGTCATGATGGAGGGGAGGGGAGCATAAAAGAACTAGACAAAGTTGTGTGTTTCGTCGGTGCCCGTGGATGGTTTTCTTCCTTGTCTCACACTCATTTCCCAACAACACTATGGTTGCACATCAGAAGCACACGGCACTTTCGCTTTGAGGCCGGTCATCTCCTCAATCCACCAAGCAGTCCCAGCCATAACTGGTTACGACATAAAACCGTTCTTTATGATTCCACGATGCCTGGTAGCGTAGGTGCCCTGGTGGTGTAGAGATTATGTCTTAGGCAGTTCGAAACCACTAGCAGCTCCTCGGGAGAAAGGGTGGGCTTTCTACTCCTGTGAACAGCGGCAGTCCCGGAAACCCACAGGGGGTGGCTATGAGTCAGCATTGACTTGATAGCAGCGAGATGCCTGGTGGTGTAGTGGTTATGCCTTGGGCTGTGATCCCCATGGTCAGTAGGGGAGAGAGAGAGAGAGAACCTCACTGTCCATGGTGGTCATCGGGCATGGCCTTCCCTTCATTCCCACCAGCACCTGAGTATTGAGCAGTATTTTAGGAGGTGTCAGAGCACCTTAGGAAAGTGATCTTGTGTTTTGGGGGAAAGAAAGCAAAAATACAAGTCTGGAAAGCATTCTGATGGAGATCAACGGGAAAGCTCCTATTACCACAGGGACCTGTGCCTTTGTCCTGGGATGCTTAGAGAAAGAGAAGGGAAGGCGGGGGAGTCAACCTCCGCAGTGAAAACAGACCTAGCGGACGTCCTCTGGTGGGTGGGGTGGAGGTTAGAGAGCCGAGAGGGAGGCGCTCAGTGTGGCTGGCCTGTACAATGACCATGGACGATGCCTTGACCAGGTGTCCCAAGACATACTCACCCAGTGGGTCAGCTTTTCCATCCCTGTCTGGAACGGTGAACACTCCCACTACTCGATGGCCCTCTTTCCGGAGCCGGCTGTAGACTTCTTGCCCAAAGAGGCTCTGGCCAATAAGTGCCAACTTCAGCTTGTTTTTGAGATAAACCTGCAGAGCAATCCCGTGGTGGCAGGTGTTAGCATGGATAGGAGACACCCGGATATTAAACCTTCCCACTGCCCCTCGCCCAGTCACACGGGATGGTGTGAGGACGACAAAACGCTCCAAGATCTGTGAGATGTTTCATTCATCTGTGCAAGACCCACACACGGGACACCGAACAAGGAAGACCGAAGAAGAACCGGTGCCTTGGAATTAGGGTGTTGGAAAGGAATAATGACTTATTATTAGATTAATGAATTGTTAGTAGAAGTAAGGAGCATTCTCCTTTCTTTCATGGTCGCGATTATGTTGTCAGGAGAGAGACCAGTCTCTGGAGAAAGACCATGTGCTTGGTAGAGCGGAGGTGCGTCGAGGCAGAGAAAACCTTCCATAAGACGGATTGGCACAGCGCCTGCTTCCATGGGCTCAAACATTACAGTGGCGAGCCTGGCACAGGACCAGGTGGTGTTTCGTGCTTTTGTAATTGGGTCGATATGCGTTGGACCAGACTTGACGGCACCTACCATCACCACCAATTACCTAGACGACAATATAAACAGTGACTACACATCACTTCATGCCCAATACTGCTCATTCTCCCTTGGCTCCAGTTCCCTTGGTTCATTTGAATAATCGTTCATTCAAGATTCTATATGATATTTTTACAAGTTACTTTAACTCCTTAGTGGAAACGAGCCAGCCCAGGCACGAATAAATCACGAGAAAGATCATTGCTGAGAGGAGCTTCACTCTGAGTGTGAGCTACATCGATACGGCAGGGCTTCTATGCTCCCGCAACATAGGAATGGGGAGAACTGGGCTCATCTCTTCTTTGTGAGAGAGGGCAAGAGCTAACATTTAATGTAACAGAGGGGTCAAGGGCGCAGACCCTAGAGTTCAACTGCCTGAGGTCAGTAGTTCTACCACTTACCAGTTGTTCGACCTTACATAAATTAACCACGGTTTACCTGGTTTTCCACATCTGTAAAGTGAGAACAATACAATATCTAGTTTATATGATTTTTGGAGAAACAAATTACTTAGACTAGTGTCTGACACAGGGTACGTAAGATTTAAGCATAAGCTTTAATAGTTTAAAATCATTTCCTATGAACTGGAGCCCTGGTGGTGCTTTTAGGGAAGCCTTGGACTGCAAACTGCAAGGTTGGTGCTTCAAATCCACCTGCTGCTCCGGTGAGACCTACCATGCTCTCTGCACCCAGCTTCAGAAATCCTATACGAAGAAGTTGCTTTGAGTCAGACTCGACTGGAAGGCAGTGGGCTATACTAAACACTGGTCATTTTGTTTCGTTCTCCTGTTCAGAGTTTAAAAATCCTTGCTAATTCTCCAAAACCAAACCCACTGCCCTTGAACTGACTCATACTCACAGCGAGCCGCTCGGACAGAACAGAGCTGCTGCGTCGGGCTCCCAAGGCTGTCATCTGTGTGGAAGCAGGCTGCCGTATCTGGTGATGGTTTTGAACTGATGATCTCTTGGGTAACAGATGAGTGCTTTAAGCATGGCGCCACCAGGGTTCCTTCAAGGCCAGCACAGCTCCCACAACCATCAAGTCGATTCTGACTTACAGGGACCCTGGCTTCTGAGGTTGGAAATCATTACTGAAGCAGGCAGCCTCATCTTCCTCCCATGGAACAGTTGATGGGTTTGAACTGCCCACCTTGTGCTTAGCAGGCCGACTTCTAATCTATAGGGTCACTCGAGTTCCCGCACATCACATCATTTAATTTTATTCTCACCACTACTCCATTTTATTATCTCCCATGCTGCACCATTTTATAAAAAGACCGAGGCTTAGCATGGGCAGGTAACCCTTTCAGAGCCATCACGCTCGAAAGGGGGTTGGCTGGAACTTGGCTCCAAACGTCCTTGTAGGGATTTTAAAATGAGCCACCGCCACTCCTGACAAAGAGGAACACAGATACCAAAAATACACTGGGGATCAAGAAGTGCAAACACTGCGCAGCTTGGAAAGCATAAAGTGATTTTGACTCATGACTCAAACAGAAACACTCAAGGCTTGAAGGATGTAAAGGAATAATGCCTTTAAGGGACAGGTCCTGCAAATTCTCCCTGAGTGTGTCCTTCAGAGTCTGTTGGAAGCTAACACCTTGATATCACAGTTCTTCAGCTGAACCTCGAAAGCCATGAGGGGAGCAGGTTGGTGGGTGTAGAGCTACTCATCAAAGCATCCCCTGGGCTGGAGACCCCTGGATGCAACTGGCTCCTTCTTGGTGAAGCATCAGCTCCAGCTCCAACTGGTTTCCTGGCTCCTTCTTGGTAATGTCCCAACTCCAGTTCCAACTGGTTTCCTGGAATCTTCTTAGTGAAGCATCTGCTCCAGTTCCCAGGAACTCTCTCCACCTGTCACTCTACTGCTCTGGGACTTGGTGCCACTGGACCTGGATTTTAGAAACGACTCCACACCCAGTGCCCTTACCTTAATTCTTATTGGAGTTCTCTAATGTTCTGAGAAGTCTGTCTAAATTGATAGAGCCTCACAGAATATCTGGCTAGGAAAATAATAATTTTCCCTGTTTCCCACTTCATTACTGGGCATGGATAACACCTCTTTTATGGAAGAACTTAAAAGGATACCTTTCCTATAATTAAGCTGATAATTAAGTAATTGTGGTTTGAGCTTAAAATGTTCTTTCCAAAGACCAGTCAAAGGTTATATCCCAAAAGAGCCTAATTAAGCTTCAATTTCCAACACACAATCACCAACTAACAGCCACAAAATGCACCGGCAGTTAATGAAAGGTTGAATCTTCTGCAAGTCCAAACCTTCTGTAAATAGCCTGTCTTCAAATCCTATGTTTAATGGTGCTGCTTGAAATAGAACCCATGTGTCAGCAGTCTTACAAATGTTGGCTTTGCTTCAGATCATTGCATCGCCAGCTATTTTAAAACATCTAAAATCTCGCTTTTAAAATGCACAATGGCTGAGAGGCTGAGCTGACTCGGATGTAAGATATTGCTTGGCTTGAAGGATGTACTGATTTGGCATCCAATTCTTGATTTGATTCTCCCCAGAAAAGTGGCTTTTGTAAAGAAACCAGGGGCAGTGTCTTTGGGAACATTTCATTCAGTGAAATATTGTCTGAGCGCAATGCTAAAGCTGCTTCTCACACTGAGGAGTTCTCCGCTTGTTTGATTGTAAACATGTGCATTGTGACTTAGCACATTCTGGAAAACTGGGTTGAGTTATTGCCCCTGTCTTTTTTTTTTTTTAACAGTTTATTGACACTTCATCCATATACCAATACCACACAATTCAATAGTGCAATCTTTTCAAGAAGAGTTGTATAATCATGACCACATGCAACGTTAGAATGTTTTCTTCTTTCTTATACTCATTGTTATTAGTGAAATTATTATCATTTTTTTATTGTGGCAAAAATATACACAACAAAACATTCTCCAGATCAACAACTTCTACATGTCTAATGCAGTGCCGTCAAGTATACTCTCGTGGCGTGCAAATCCAAATCTTAATCCAAACTATTCCACCATCATGAACATAAACTCAATGCCCCCTAAGCGAAAACTCTTTGTCAACTTTGGTTTCTTTATTTTTTAGTAGTTTTCGTGATATAAAATTCACATATCATACACTTCCATAGTTACATCATTTTGAAAAAGAGTTGTATATACATTATCACAACCAGTTCTAATGCTCCCTTCCCCTCCCACATTCATTGTTTGCTCCCCAATTCCCCTCACTCTCCCCCTGCCCCGTCCCAGATAAACGATGTATCAGTCATTGCCTATATGCATCCACTCTTTTGTGCTTCATAAACTGGGAAACTTAACAGAAATAATAACAGAAAAACAAATGGAAACAGAAAGAAGAAATAATCATAATATAAAGATAAGAATAAAGAGTAAGAAAGGAAAGGCCACCAATAATATTTTAAAAGCCAGAGAAGAAATTTCTGTCATGGAACAAGCAAGAAATATTTAACCCCAGAGCAAATTCAGGTAGGTTCAAGAGGGAGGCTGACCAAGTATCATAGTCAATGTGGTTGGATCCACCATAATGAAGTTACAACTATCTATGTCTGACAGTAAAGCTGTTCCAGTCCTTGCCTGTGGCCACAGGGGATCTGCTGGAGGTTTAATCTGACTGGAAACACTTCAGATGGATTCTGGGCTCCCACTGTCCTCCACAGCCTTCTACAAATGGGGTGTCCACAATGTAAGCTCTGACACTTTTCCCGTCGTCGTCATATTTGGACTTTTAAAAATCCGTCTTTGACAAATGGGTGCATAAGCAAATGTGGCAAAGAAACCTGATGGTGCCCGGCTATCAAAAAGTATAGCGTCTGGGGTCTTGAAGGCTTGAAGGTAATCAAGCGGCCATCAAGCTCAGAAGCAACAAAGCCCACATGGAAGAAGCACACCAGCCTATGCAACCACGAGGTGTCGAAGGGATCAGGTATAAGGCATCATCAGAACAAAGAATCTTACCATAGTGAATGATGGGGGGAGTGCAGAGTGGAGATCCAAAGCCCATTAGTAGGCCACTGGAGATCCCCTTGCAGAGGGGTCTTGGGGAGGAGATGAGCCAGTCAGGGTGCGATGTAACAATGATGAAAAATACAACTTTCCTCTAGTTCCTAAATGTCTCCTCCCCGCTCCCACTACCATGACTCAAATTCAACCTTGCAAGTCTGGCTAGACCAGAGGATGTACACTGGTACAGATAGGAACTAAAAATACAGGGAATCCAGGGTGGATGAGCCCTACAGGACCAGTGGTGTGAGTGGTGAAACAGGGAGGGTAGAGGGATAGTGGGTTGGCAAGAGGGAACCGATTACAAGGAACTATATGTGACCTCCTCCCTGGGGGATGGACAACAGAAAAGTGGGTGAAGGGAGACGTCGGACAGGGCAAGATATGACAAAATAATAATTTATAAACTATCAAGGGCTCATGAGGGAGGGGGGAGCGGGAAGGGAGGGGAAAAATGAGGACCTGATG